TTTGCACATCCCTTTCAAGATTTCAAGATTTTCAAAGGTTTATTGACATATCATATACACAACTACGGTGTAGTTATGCAATGAATGAACAACTTGGGTCACAGGTTCCTCAACAGTGCATTGCAAGACATCTATCGATATCTGTGTACCTCCACTAGGGTTGTGCATCTTCACTGGTCTCACGATTCGATTACGATTATCCTGTCAACGATTCGATTCAATTCGATATCACGATGCATCACGATTAGAGATGTCCCGATCCGATCACGTGATCGGGGATTGGAGCCGATCACGTGATTTTCAAAAGATCGGAATCGGGAGAAAAAAATCGGGGATCGGGATTTTTTTTTATTTAAATTTTTTTTTTTTAATAAAATATTTTTATTTTATTTAATGTTACAAAACAAAAATGACCATGTTCACGTCTTAAAGTCATCCTGAGGCCTTAGTTTTGGTTTAAAATTACACAACATCATGTATGTGTTGCTTCTTTTGGGCTTGTTTTCATAGACCTGGTTGCTTATTTCTCTCAAATCTGGCAACAGAGTGGGCGCAGTGTCTAATAGTAGCAGTAAGCTAACGAGAGGCTACGTTCAGCTGGTGACTCGGGAGTCGGGACAGAGAAAATGTCAGGAGTTTGGAAGTATTATAAAATTGAAAGCGAAGGCAGTGTAACAGCCAGATGCAATGTTTGCAAGGCGGAGGTTCCGCGTGGTGGAAAGAACAGAGCTACGTTCAACACGACCAATCTAATACAAACACCAACAACAACACGAGGAGTACACAGCGGCCACTCAGGTAACGGCACTGAAACAACCAACACTTTCAGAGACTTTTAAAAGGAAAGAGAAACTGCCCCAGAACAGTGAAAAGGCCAAAAAAATAACAGCCAAGATAGCTGAGTTCATCTCGTTGGATGACCAGCCGTTATCTGTTACCTTTTTTTTCTCTTAATGCATTGCATAAAGATCGGATCGGGAAAAATCGGTATCGGCAGATTGTCAAAATCAAAGGATCGGAATCTGATCGGGAGCAAAAAAAGGTGATCGGGACATCCCTAATCACGATTCATACCAATGCGTTGCATCCTCAATTTTCTATATTACTGCACATGGCTTCTTTTTCATCAATGCATACATGCAGTAAATACATATGAACTCTCTTTTTATTATTTAGAAAGTGCTTCAGAAATCAATAACATAAATGTCTTGACATTCATTTATAAACCAAAATAAATTAATTGTATAGGTCTAGCCTCCCTATATCTGTGTGTGAAGTTGTTCCATCCTCAAAAACAAAAAACGAATGCTTCTGCAGTCTAGCTGCAGCTTCTAGCAATGGTCTTCTGAATGGACACTGAATGTGGCATCACACACAGGACTTGAGTCTGAACACAGCAGACAACAGGAGTATTTACAACAGCATATACAAACTATAATAGTGCATGTGGGTGCACACTTACTGTGAAGTCAACTTGGAGAATCCACAGGAGAGCAAAGGGTTAAAAAGTCGGGCTGATTGACAGAGTAGCAGCTGTCTGTAATCAGTCCCTAATTGCTAATCAGCGTTGCTGCAGCTTTAAAAGCACCACACCTGAAAGAAGGGCGGTAATCAAAGCTGGAGAGGGACAAACTAAAGAGCGTGCGTCCAGCAGCAGCAACAAACCAGCAGAAGAAACTACAAAGAAGCAGCACTGGTGCAGCCATAAAAAGCTGGAGAGGCGGCCGGTGAGAGACGAACTGTGTGGTTAGAGAAGAGTCATACAACTTGCCGTTCGTAGCACACGTTAGAATGTATAGAATGTATTCTCTGTCTTACTGTTACATAAATCCCATGAATGTATGAGATTAAGTTAGCTTCATTATATCTCAATCAGTGATTAAGTGAATAATAAAGTTTCTATCGGGTCACTATCAGCCTGTCACTCATTATTTTCAGGGAGGGGGCGGGGCTTGGAGGAACAGAGGAGACGGTGATCGCGGAAGCTTTTTTCCTCCTGCCTTCACAAACTTTACACAAGTATTTATCAACTGAAAATTGCTAGAGGACATTCATACTCTGCAATCCAAGACTTAATTAAATCCACCAAAAACCTGACATGATTGTAACGCGATTATTTTTGAAAAACATAAATCCTTGTGTCTCTGAGCCGCAGCGACACGGAGTGATTCAGAGCGGGTCCTTCTGCTGTTGGTTCTGGACTGGTGTTGGTGGATAAAGCAGACTGCTCCGTGTTTGGTGTTGCTGTGCCGCTGTCACGTCTGTTCCCTGATCACTGCGTCACGTCTGTTCCCTGATCACTGCGTCACGTCTGTTCCCTGATCTCTGCGTCACGTCTGTTCCCTGATCACTGCGTCACGTCTGTTCCCTGATCACTGCGTCACGTCTGTTCCCTGATCTCTGCGTCACGTCTGTTCCCTGATCTCTGCGTCACCGACCGATTTGATATTAAAGTGACAGAAAAAAAAACGTTATAGTAAAGCCGCGGCCGGAAAATCAGGAAGCAACGTTACTACGCTATAATCGATTATCTTCCGTCACTGCATCGATACCGAATCATCCACGTCCGCATCGCAATGCATCGTAGAAACGATTATTTTCAACACCCCTAACCTCCACCATTAAACATATTCTGCACATTTCTTATACTATCTACATACATCGTATAAGAGTATAATTAATATGTATAATATCAGTTAAAATAAGTGCTTCAACATAGTTAACATTGCAGGAAAGTTGATGGTCAAGTTCCAAAACAAACCATGCAATATATTAGACGTTAAGTACTTTGTCAGGCTTAATATCTGTAGATACCCCCAAAGCTTTTTTCTTATTTAAAAGAAGACCTTAACCTAAAGTATTCTTTCATGTTTAAATAAAGCCTTATTAGTTTGTCTGTTTTGCACATCCTCCTATCAGGCACTAAACTGTTTTATTGTAGAGATCACTTACAGTATCTTCTTGATATTTTCTATTCTATATTATTTATATCATTGACCTTCCACTGTCCCACTATATTAAGAGTATGTATCAAATATAACACATTCAAAAGTGCTTTACAAAAATGAAAGACATTAAGAAAAAGGCATTTTAAAACAGTCATTAACAAGCAACACAATCTACCTGCATTGCAATGACTCTAAACGTGTAATAACGTGCTTTAACCAGTAGGAGGTGCGGGTTAAAAAGCTGTCAAGTTTACAGTGTTAACAAAATAAAATATACTGCTGTTTCTGGTTTAGTTTACAACGGATATATTCTGTTATTGTTTTGATATTTGTAACACAAAAGCGATGTAAAAAACCCACAGCAACACAGAAAAGATGGTCTTAACATGACCCAGCGGTCTAGTAGTTAATAAAAAACAATAATATCAAAACTAATTATTACTACTAACTTTATTGTGAAATTAAAACAGAACGGTAAAAGAATAGTTTCCGGTCTATTCTGAGGCCCGATCTCTGTAGATAAATAAAGAACTACGACAGATGTGTAATATTTAATGCAGCCAAACCATTCATTACAATGCATTCATGTGATGACTTTCAAAGAGTAAAGCAAGCACTGCTGAATAAAGTATGATTTTATCTTTTACGAAACGTTTTTTTCATATGGAATGCAGTTGGAGGTCAACCAATCACAGAGCTTGAGGCAAAGCGGAACAATAGCTGAGGATTCTGGGTAGTGTAGTGTCTTCGGCCATCCTAAACTCTGAACACATATTTGTTTCTCCGAATCGAAAGGGGAAATTACAAAAGCATTGAACACAATTTAAACCAATCAATGTTGTGTAATTAACAAGATAATCTGGTGTTTTTGAGTTGATGAGTAGTGCAGATATCACTGTAAATAAAATCAATGGACAGTAAGGAGAATACTTACTTCCGGGTGTAAAATCCTCCGTTATCCAATGGGAATGGACGCTCACATTGCTCTCTGCGTCCGTAATACAATAAAGGGTACTTAATCAAATAGGAATATAATTATCTTTTAAATAACGTTAACTAAAGGGAACAATCTCTTTGACACAGCTGAAGCTCTGGCCTTCCTTAAAAACTAACTCATTTAATAAAAATCACAGTTGTATTACACACAATACATTGTTTTTTGAGAACAAACATTGGTGAATAATGCACCATAACACATTCTGACGAAAATAAAAATTATTATGAATACAAATAAAATAAAAGAAGCCTCCTGTGAGTTACTACAAGCTATAAAGTAGATTTTAAAAACGTTTTATAGAATAAAAGCTCACTGCTGGACGTTGTAGAAATGCGTGTGTGCACCACGACAAAGGAGCCTCATTCACTTTACATTGGGGTTGTTTGCGTGGTGCCGACACGTAAATGTAGCAAAGTTCGTGACTCCACCACGCACTGCAGTGTTAAGGAGTCGTGGTGGAGTCACGCATTCTGGTGAGACCAGGTTGGAAAAATCTATTAAATAAATGATACATTTAAATAAATAATATACCAATAAACAAGATCAACAAATATTTTGGAGCGCACTTCCACAAGCTATTAAACATATATAAATAAAAATAAATTAGATTAAAATTAATTAGATCAAATATGTTGCAGTGCACTGTCACAACCTAGCAAAGCAAAATAATCATTTTTTTCGATTATGTTGTTTTCGTAATTGTGGCAGGCCAAAATCGTAATTGCGATTAAAATACGATGAATTGCACAGCCCTAACACACACACACACACACACACACACACACAAACACACACACTTTTGTCTAACACGACACAGTTCTGTACTGTTATGCTGTTATGTTCAGTCATTGTTCTTATGTTTAACATGAATACATTTACTTTGTAAGTCATTATGGGACGTATTTCTTTTTTCATAGCAATTTTCCTTCATACTTTCTTGCCGTGAAATAGGTCTTAAATTCTATTCAAAGTGGTCTTAAAAAGGTCTTAAAAAGTCTTAAATTTGAGTTGGCGAAACCTGCAGGAACCCTGTTTATTACTCTGTTCTTTATCAGTTTCAGGATCCAGCAGCAGAGACCTGGACCTGGACCTGGACCTGGACCCAGCTGTGAGTCCATGAAGAGTGACTTTTCTATGGAGTCTCCTCCTTACTTTAAAGCTGGACAAAGTGCTGATGAAAGGTAAGAATTTCAAACTGGACTCTGTTACTATCTTGCCCCTTTCACACCAACGTGGTTCCCGTTCTAGCTCCTCTTGAGCTCTTCTGGTTTGGAACCGGTTTTTCTTTTCAGCCCCCGTTTTGTTCACACCGCCCAGAGCCCGACTGGTGCTGCATCATGACGTCACCGTTTACGTAGCTCAACGGCCTCGGGTCGATGATCGTGTTGCTTTTAATCATACGAAGCCAGATTAAATAAAATAACTACTTCTCCAACCTTATACTTTTCTCCAGAGTGCCGTGGTTCATTGTTTATTAATGTGTTTCATTTAGCGACCGCTGTAGCGCTGCCCGCTGTTTGGCATCACAACGCTGTTATGAAAGTTTCTCTGGTATAACATGGGTGATGTTAGCATAGCAACCGAAGCTAAACTGACTACTTGCTAAGCCGTTTTCTACAGGCACTTTTTACCGGCGTATTTTTCATTATGATTCTACTTGTGATAGTCGGACATGACAACCTGTGCAGCCCATGTATTGATTCCATCCGATAGCTGCTATAATAACAAACGTCTGCCTGCTCTCCACAATGATCAATAACAGCGAACGGATGGTCAAAGTAAGGTACAAATAAACAGAATCACACGAAGCCTGGTTAGTGTTGCCTGACTTTATAAAGTGTGTTTTTATAAGTGTGTGGTTGCCTTCTAGTCACTTTGCTCAGCGCTACTGCTTGTTACAACTTGTATTTGCCGTACTCTCCAATAAAATGTTGCTCAGGTTGATCCCGCCCCTGCCTCCGATGTAAGTGTGACGTAGCCTATTGGTTCTTGCTTCTAGACCGACAATTTTTTGGTGCTTGGTAAGCACCATTTTTCGGTGCTTAGAGCCGGCTCCGCTGCGGTGTGAACAGGAAAAACGGTGCTTATCAGGCTCTAGCTCCGAACCGGCCCTGGAACCGCGTTGGTGTGAAAGGGGCATCTGACTCTCTTTGGAGAAGGCACCACAGATTGGTTCAGATCAGGCTCCAGATAATAATGGGGCTTTCTGTTCCTCGCACCATCAGCTGCTGGGAGGCTTCTGATGGTCGGCTTTCAGGCCTCAGTAATGTTGGTGTTTTCATAACCCCCCCCCCCCCCTCCACCTGCTGAGCCACAGCTACCCTGTTATTCTGTCTTCATCTCAGAACACCTTCAGTCAGCTGTGTGCAGATTAGAGTCTTTAAATGTTCTGGATGTTTTCTCCACAGAGTTCTGCAGGAGTTCTCAGAGGTTCCCAGTGATCAGTCTGCCCCGAAGCATCACACTGACCTGGACTCCATATTTATGGTGTGTACAAATATACCTTTACTATGAACTACAGATGATCTACCATTCAGGTCCTGACAGTGTCCATGCTGCTCTGTTTAGACCAGCAGGCCTTCAGACGGACAGATGATCACATGTTGTCTTCTTTAAATTAACTGTTGTGTCGGCGCACCTGTATTAATCTCTGACTATCAATCAGACCGACTGACTGACCTATCAGAAGCTATTGAGTCTATGCAAGTTCACCACCAGGCTCAGATTCACCTCTGAAAGGTCTTACCTCTGCTAACTTCTGGAGAACCAGGTTCAATGAACTCGTGTTTGAAGGCAGACGACTAAATCTGTTTATGAGATCCCAGAAGATTCTGTAGTGAGGTGTGGCCCTGCCTAAGTGTGAGTGTGGCAGTCATCCAAGAGGGTGGTGATTATAGAAAAAAGAGGATATCAAGATTTGTGTCGGGTGTTATTTTTTCAAAAATGTCCGCCTTGCTGCACATTATCCCTAACATAATAACTTTAGTTTTAACGATATTCATCTGATCAATGTTCATCAATCTGTTCCAGCTACTGGAGGAGAACATCGTGACTTTTGTGAAGAACGAGCTGAAGAAGATCCAGAAGGCTCTGAGTTCAGATTACCCAGAAGGCTTAGAGTGTCAGAGTGAGGACGAGGAGGTGTTGGACGGTGAGGATGAAGAGCAGAGGAGGAGCAGCAGAGAGGCATTTCTGAACATCTCAGTGCACTTCCTGAGGAGCATGAAGCAGGAGGAGCTGGCTGAGCGTCTGCAGAGCAGTAAGAGGGTTTAAAACATTTAACATGATGGAGAGGAGATGGAGGAACATGGAGAAGTTTACAAACTCTGCTGTTAATATGCTGCACACGTCTGCATCAGTGTGTCCTCTGAGGAGCTGATTCAAACTATACAGCCACACTTAAATGTTCAGAGTCTCAGTGTGTCTGCAGGACCCACTCACTGATTTAGTTGGAAAGCTGATACAGCATTCCAACTACTTGTTCTTCTACGCACACATTCTTTATACTTATTATTATTCCGCCGGGTTATTTTGCCCCTCTTCTCCTCCCACATTCCACATCACAGAAACTCCGTTCAAACATCAAAACGTTCAGCTCGGTCGGGAATCGATTGCTATTACTTTTCTCATTCATAACTTTCATAATTCCAGAGATACATCCCATAATACATCACATTTTTAACATGGAAGTCAATGGAGAAATTCTTCAGACTTCAACAAATCTTCATGCGACTTCAACTGCTAACTGTTCATTCATACTTTCACTCAGAAACCTCATTCCAACTTTAAAATGTTACACATGTTTCTGACATTATTCGCGTAACACAACTTTTAAATCTGATTCTTACTTTTAGAGATATTAAACATTGTTCAGACCTTGGCCTTCTTCAGATTTTAGAGTGTGTGATGTCACAGCTAGAGTAGGGGACAGCTTGAAGTAAGCCTTCATATTTTTTTTTAAACCTGCCATAATTCCAAAACCCTACATTCCTGAGACATCATTTTTCATGAAAAACGTAGGAAAACATCTCTATCTAAAAAATAATTAAGCAAAAATAATTAAACAAAATGCCTCTTGAGGGCATGAAGTGACAAAAACTTTCAACATGTCTCCATTAAGGCCGATTGTAAATTCAGCTTGATCTTTCCTCACAGCAGCAGCAGCACACCTTTAGTTCATCTGCCAAAAAGGCCACATTATTAACCCGAAAGTACACAAAAAGCACACTTCAGATACTCAACTTCCTTGACATGCTTCACGCGTTGAAATGTCACCGATATCTTTTACGGTTCTTCAACAACACGTTCACATGTAAGAGGTTTATCTCTCATTCAGATCAATGGAAAGGCTCTCCTCTCACTGATTACTGCACATCACCATGGAAACCTCTGATCTCTGGGTTCAAGCACAGGTGTGTGATGGAACACGATGATGTCATAACTCAAACTGACATGCTCAGAACGCCACCAAACATCACATGATGGTTAACACTGGCCCTGAACAGCTCTACATCAAATCTGATGTTACATAATGTGGTGTTACCATGGAAACGCATCCCTCGCAACCCAGTCTCACGGCATTTCGTGTTATAGTCACAAGATTTAACACCAACACGATTTCCCCCTTTTTTTCGTGTCACACAGAACGATTTTAAAAGTCTTTCTAGTTGCGTATTTTTCATAGTCTTATATTTCAACAGTTTTACGACAAACTGTGACTTTTTTGACATGGAAATTATTTGTTAAGATTGACAAACATCATATGTGTAATTCGTGGCACAATTCAAACGGGATCGAAAGATAATCTTTCTCTCTCCATTGACTTCAATGCATATTTTTTCCGAAATAAGGTCCCATGGGGCGGAAGTAGATGGGCGAGACTTCGCCTCTCTATTGTTAGTGTGTTTCGTGCCTGCAACACGTCTTTTTGTCCGGTCGGGTCTTGGAAGACCAGAAGCTGTGTGGTTCATAAAAACATGTTCTTACTCAATATCAAGCCACGATTATTGTTTTTAATTTTAAATCGTATAATGTCTGACTTTTGTTGCCGTCCGTGAGGAAAATAAATGGCTCAGAGCCTCAGAATACTGAAATCTGTATTTTTTTAATATTTTTTTCCTTCTAATTAGTTATTCTTTTCTAAATAACACACTGTTATTTACTCAACAATAACACACAATTATCCTTGTTTTTATTTATTTGTTTAATTCTATAATCTCTGGCTTTTTTACCGTCCGTCAGGAACTGAATTTCAAAATAAAATAACCGGAAACAGATAAACACCCACTGAACTGAGTGCCGCAATGCACGTTGGGATATGGTGTTTATGCGATATGAAATATTGACATTTAAAAAAAAAAAAAAATAATACTTTATTTCGAGTGTGCTTGCTTTTCTCTTTGGAAGTCATCACATAACGGCATTGTAATACACGGTTCGGCTGCATTAAATATTACACATCTGCCGTAGTTATTTATTTATAGAGCCCTGATGAGAAGACTTCTAGACAAACAGGAAGAACATGAACCACGGAAACTGAATATGCGTGGATCATAAATATATCAGCAATTAAACAACATCTTACATTTCTTTTCACAAAATACGTCTCCTTGCAGTATCAACACTAATTCGGCTGACTTTTATATTTGATCCAATCGGTAGATAGGTTGTATTTACACCATAACGGTGCACAGCTGATAGAAAAGGACTTGTAGTTTTTAAAGATATTACTGATTTTCTTTGAATATAAGAATGTAAATACTGAGTTGAGAGAATAGTCAGGGGTTTTGGGTGATGGGAGACACATCTATGGAATCACAATTTCAATAGCTTACCATCAAATGAGAGACATACCTTTCTGTCTGTGATGTTTTACAATCAGATATTAATGTGTAGATGTAAAACATGAGAAATAATATAGCAATATCCTGTAGAATTATGTGAAAACATGAATAAAACTACACATCTTCAGATGTTATACATACATAAGTGTCCTACACTAATAATACAAAGTTATTATGGCTGTGTGTACCTTGTGTGCACCGCCTATGGTTAAAGCACGTTATTGAATTATTTCTTTAATATGTTATATTTGATGAAAAAGATATTAAGAGTACATCCTTTCATAGGGGGAAAGTAGAAGGTCAATGATAGAAATATAGAATATAAAAAATCAAGAAGATACTTTAAGTCAGGGGTATCAAACTCAAATACACAGTGGGCAAACATTACAAAATGGGTACTAGTCGATGGCCGGACTGGTTCAATGTTTATTGCAAAACTTATTGAAATTAACTTATTGCACATATTAAACCTGGGACTAACAAAGCTTACATTATTGCCTATAAAAACAACATTAAATAATCAATTGCATTCATTTCTTATGGCTCTATCTGCAGCTTTTCCGGAGTCATTTCTTATGATTACTTTTTTCCACAGGCCAACAACCGCTTCAAAAAAACAATTTCCCTCAAAGAACAAACCAAACATGCCCTGTTGTCACAAGAAAGAAAGTGCAGAAGGAAACATCCATTAAACTCAGTGTGCTGCTCTGTGATGCTAGCTCAAGCCAGATACTTGGCATCTCTGCGGTCCTGCCTGACTCTCGTCATGCTGCTTCCCTGATGGCTCCCACAGGATTGTTCTTGACATCTTCATGGATTCATCTCCTTATTATAGACACATGCATTTCCAAACATTCGGTCTACCTACGCTGTAAAATGTATTCTCTCTTTGATTTACACACGGCATCTATTGCACGTGTGTCCGTCCTGGGAGAGAGACCCCTCCTCTGTTGCTCTCCCTGAGCTTTCTCCCATGTTCCTTTAAACTGTGGGGTTTTCTCCGGAAGTGTTTCCTTGTACGATGTGAGGGTCTAAGGACAGAGGGTCTAAGGACAGAGGGTCTGAGGACAGAGGGTCTGAGGACAGAGGGTCTGAGGACAGAGGGTCTAAGGACAGAGGGTCTAAGGACAGAGGGTCTAAGGACAGAGGGGGTCGTTTTCTCATACTGATATTCTGAACAAACTGTGCTGTTGTATTTGCTGTAAAGTGTCCTTACTGTAAGGTCATTATTACATGTACAGCACTTTGGCTCGACCAAAAATCGTTTTTAAAAATGTGCTATATAAACAAAACTTGATTTGATTTGATCTCATCTTGGGTGCAAGGTCATCAATGTTTGGGGTCAGGCTCTGAGCTGAGGAAACCCTCAGGATTGAGTGAAGGTGTGCGTGCAATATACCGGCGGGCCAGATCTAATAGTAATTAGAAATGATCCTGCAGGCCGAAATAAAATCCACCAAGGGCCTGATTTGGCCCCCGGGCCTTGAGTTTGAGACATGTGCTGTACTGTAAGTGATCTCTACAATAAAACAGTTTAGTGCCGGATGTATAAAGATATTAATAGCAGGATGTGCAAAACAGACAAACTAATTAACCTTTATTAAGACATTAAAGAATACTTTAGGTTAAGGTCTTCTTTTAAATAAGAAAAAAGCTTTGGGGGTATCTACAGATAAATATTAAGCCTGACAAAGTACTTAACGTCTAATATATTGCTTTCCTGCAATGTTAACTATGTTGAAGCACTTATTTTAACTGATATTATACACATTAATTATACTCTTATGTATGTAGATAGTATAAGAAATGTGCAGAATATGTTTAATGGTGGAGGTACACACATATTGACAGATGTCTTGTAATGCACTGTTGAGGAACCTGCGACCCAAGTCTTTCATCATTGCATAACTACACCGTAGTTGTGTATATGATATGTCAATAAACCTTAGAAAATCTTGAAATCTTGAAAGGGATGTGCAAAATAGCCATTATATACAGTTTTTAATTAACTATTAGAAGAGAATAACGAGTAATGAATATGCTTTATAGAGATCTGCAGATAAATGTTTAGTCTTCTCAAGCAGCAACTACCAAATATCTCTCCTGATTGTTGGCACTTGACAATCACCTTTCCCTGAATGTTACTCAGGTGTAACTAAAATCTGATTTAAGGGTTGTTTATATTTCACATCATTAATCAGAATCTGCAAAGTATCTAAAATAAATGTGGAGTAAAAATACCAGGTTAACCTCTGAATTGTAGTGGAGTAGAATGACAAAGTAACAATGAGCTGGGTATAAATTGCCCATTATGGACACAAGCGATTTTCATCCATTTATTAATTATATGTTTTACATTTGATAACACCAATGTGTTTAATACTGGCAACTTCTAATTGGTGGAAAAAACGAAAAC